ACAGGGCATTCATTCAGCCTAAAATGTCAATAGTGCTGAGCCTCAGTCACCTCGTATTAGAGGAAGGGAGAAAAGAAGGGGCTGTCACAGACAGACCGTGTCACAGGCTGTCATTAACAGATGTTACGTAGTCTGTTTTGTGGATATTATTTACATAGTCCATCCCAAGTACACATCCAGACCTATCACTGTAGCTAGACAATGTCCTTGAACTAATTTAGAAAAGATTTGGTTGATAAAGGTTTAAAAATTTTTTGCCAAAGAAGGCAAGATTTTAAATTTGCCTTCTTTGCTTTTTAAAACAATTACTTCCCACCTCTTTTAGTCCCTTAGGGAAAAATAGGAAAGCAACTGTTCAGGTTGAAACCAGAGTCTCCGTTCTGATCAAAATAAACTCACATTATCCCTGTAACATCAATCCTACTGAGCTATTTCTCAGGTATTTTTAATAGGGTATGCACTGGGGTAGGGATGTTATAGAGGCAGACAGATACACACACACACATTCACACACACACACTCTCTCTCGGGCAGTCTCAGCCCGCCACCTGGCTCCCCGCCACACCCATTTAGGCACGATGCTGATGTGCTTAACTACTTCCTCAATGAACATTTCCGCTATGATCAGGACTTAGAAATTGTACCGGCACAGCTGAAAATAACACCCAGTTTCCAAATCAAGGATTTTTCCCTTCTTGAAATAATAATTTTTTTTCAGTTAACCCTATTGCTGCTGGGAGCTAGCTCAAAGAGTCCTTGTGAGAAACAGAAGCCTCCCGCCAAGGCATTCCTCAAATCTTTCCTTGACTCATGCCAGGCACATGGCAGAGACCTCCAGGAGCCCTTGGCTTCCGCAGCCAGCCCCTTCCTGCAATTTGAAGTGATTGATTAGCCTACTAATTGAACATCATTAGCAGATTGAGATTGTCATCACCTGGTCTTAAGCATTTGGCAGGCTCTAAAGTCCCCAGGTAAACATGGCACCATAACCCTAGGGTAATATGTTCATTTTTCTCAGGCTCCTTTGGCTTCAAAGGCAAATAAGCATTTCTGTTGTATCCTTGGGGGAAGAGGCCAAAGAAGAAAAAAAAGTGTGCCCCATGGTTATAGAGGTAGTATCAGAAAGCCTGTTAATCAGCCAGATAAAAAGAGGCAGCTGCTTCCTACCAGCGACCAAAGTCCAGCTCAAAACAAGAAAACGGGACCCAGTCCAAAATCCGACCAGTTTTCCCACAGCATCTTATCAAATGAGAGTCGGCCTCGCCCAGCGAAAGGGCCAGCCCACAGCAGGGGAGAGAGAAGCTGCCCTGCTTAATCCCAAATCATTATTCTTCCTTGCCAACTGCCCAGATTTCCCCCTGGAAACCTAGGAGGAATTCTTTTTACTTTATATTATATAAATATTTATAAATCAGCTCCAAGAATTAGTACGGTATGTGCAAGACACCTAAACTCCACATTGGTTTCACGGTGTGGGTTAATACATCTGACAGTAAGTACTTGCGACCCACCTGGAAGGGTTTAAGGCAGGGTTAGTGGTTCGAGTCCTGGCTGTGCCCCCAACTCACTGTGTAGTGCTAGGCAAGTCATTGCACAGGTGACAGGCTCCATTTCTTGGGTGTGAAATGAGTCTCACTAGAGTAGTGTTCCCCAAAGAGTGCTCTTTGGGCCTTGTATTCTAAATCCTAGGGATGCTTGTCGCCCCAGAGTGAGCCCAGGGATAGTTCCAGGGAATATGCACATGAGGTCACTACTTTCTCATCTCCTCCCCTTCCTGCAGATCAAACAACACAGATCAGGTCCCTTTTGCAGTTGGGTGGGTCCAAGGGACTATTTTGGGCCAATGTGCTGTGACTTGAGGCCAAAGCTCTTGAGAGCCAGTGTGCAATGCCTAGCTCTCCTTCCCCTACCCAGACTCCGCACCACAAAACCCCTAAAGCCTAGAGGGGTGTCTGGGCTGCAGCAGACCTGGCAGGGGGTGAGAGTAAACTGGGGGTATCTGTTCCCGTAGCACAATCCAGTCTCCCCTGATTCAACGATCCCCAAGGCTACCTGATTTATGGCAAAAGGGAGGAAGGACGGCTTCCCTGTAAGTGTTCCTGGGGCTGGCAGTTAATGGCACCTGTGGCAGACGCTGCCATTTGTTTACTCCGACTTCTTCGCTAACAGAATTCTAACTTAGCTCATCACAGCAATGCGGTCAGCCCCAGAGCTGTGACACAATAAAGGGGTGCTGTTTTAAGTACCTGCATTTGGGATCATTTTTACACACAAGAGAAAGCTAACACAGCCGGGAAGTCTTTCTAACTTAGGGTGAAATGCTTACTAAGTCCCTCTGGCATCAAAGCCGAAGCTACATTATCTGATGAGTTTATTAGCAATAAAATTGACATTTTAATCTCCATATGAATCCTATGTCTATTTCTCGATTAGTTCTGAGCTTCAGAGGGTAAAAAAACAGTTTTATTTACCCCATAAGAACCCCGACAGTCAAGCATTTCATTACTCTGTAGCCAGAAGCCTTCCTAAATCATGCAGCTACTCTCAGCAACTCTTTAATGAGGCTCAGATGTGGTAGAAGGACCCAAATCATGTCACCTCAGAACACAGGCACCTAAAAGGCTGATTTTATATTATATCTTTACTCCATGAAAATTCCTCTCTTTCCCAAGAACTGAGAAAAAATAAAAACACAACAAAGGGAAAGGCTTAACCACCATTGAGCAGGTGAAAAAACAAAACAAAACAAAACAATGAACCTTCCCCACAGAACCAGAAATCACAACCCCAAGTTTTGTTGGTTTATACAATTTTCAATTCTCAAACAATCACCTAAGAGTAACTAGCCTTTTAGACTGTAGTTTCAATGAATGACAATGAGCTTGGAGATCTTCTACCAAGACTACGTGCAGCAAGCCAAACCGCTGTTAGTACCTCCAGGAAACGTGCTTATAAGGCTCCTGGAACTCAGGGTCCCTTCCAACTTTCCAACAGCACCCCCCACTGGGGCACAAATGCCTACGTGGTGTGCTGGCAATTCCATAACATACTGTCGCCCGCTTCCTGGACAGCTCGCTGTAAAGCACTAAGTGAGCCATTGGCATGAAAATGAAATGTGAGATTTTCAAGTCTCTGTGCCCAAGCATGTTGAATGATCCCCTGAGAGGCAGCGTTCAGGGTAAGGAGAACAGCACTCTACTTGAAGTTCAAAATACATTAGGGGAAACTAAGTCCCCAAATTTGGTAACAGATGTTGTCAAGTGAGTGCAACATCTTCCCTCGTTTAGAATACAGTAACTCATTTTTTTTCATAAAGAGCAATTTCCAAAGCTTGTCCAATCCTTTCTTTCTACAAATGAAGTCATTGTGATCTAAGGAAGCTACCTACGCCTGAACCCCACTTGAAAACGCCAGATTTATTCTTCTCTAACTCAGAGGGCTAACGGGGCTCCTTTGCAAACAGCTCTTGGAGACCAGGTTGTCCTGCCTGGTTTAGAGAGACCTGAGCCTCTGAGAAGCAGAGAAGCTGAGCTCTGTGGTTTCCATGGTGACCACTGAGCCCAGGTGCATCCTCTAATGAGGCTGGCCGACCAGCCAGCAATTAGGGAGCAAAGGTGGGACATTCCAGAAAAACCCACATGCCAGGAAGCTGCTCAGGTGACATCTGAATGGGTGGCTAGCCTGCCAATAAACACTTCGTTCAGGAGACAGACACACGGTAGCTCTGAGCTCTACATGCCTGGCCTCAAGCCAGCCTCCTTCCCATGCAGTAGTTCATTTCATCGTTACCAAAACACTATAAAGGAGCTTAGAAATTTATCCCCTTTTGCTGAGGAGTAAACTAAGGCAGCTCATCCAGGATCACTGAGCTTATAAAAGGCGGCTCAGGGTCAGCCACAGGGCCTCGGTCAGCCGCCCTCACAGGCTGAAACAGTGCTAACAAAACTGAACCGGGGGCTCTTGCATTCTTCTAAAGAAAAGTTCAAGTCATGATTTCTTGTCTCAGAGGGAAAAGCAAGTTCATATTTAGAACTTACCACTGATTGATCTTTCCCATCATTGCTAGTTTCTGAAAAAGGTCTCAAATTGTCATTTTTAAGTATTCAGTAAGTATGGTAAAAATTCCCTAAAGGAGGTTTGAAACACTTGAAAATTAGGTCAGTAATGATAAAGAGAGCAAAAATGGCCTTACACCAAAGCAAAACAAGTGCTCTGTTAAATCATAGGACTGGGCGTGAGTTAAAGGGCCTGGGAACCCCAGTCCGATCACATCTACTTCGCATGCTTGTCACTGAGGCCAGGAATGCCATTGTTAGTAACTAATTTGCTTGAGTTGAGATTTTTGTCCCTTGTTTAAAGATAAGTGTTCTCAAGCGGGGGAAAAACAAGAACAAACAAACAAAAAAAACACCAGCACAATAGCAATCATGAGCACTGTAGTATGAATTAGTACATCAGTCTACTATTGCTGAGGGAGAATTCAACAGTGGGAGGAGAAGGAGGGAGGGGCCACAAGGAGGCAGACCCAAAGCACAAAGCAGTGTCTAGAAAAAAAACTGACTCTGGAAGAGATCCTAGAAGCCAGGAGCATCCTGAAGACACTGTGCTTGCAAATAAAGTGCAAGGAAGAAGTTCCAAAAACAAAATGGATGAATTTACAGTTCTGTATTGCAAATACATTAAGGAACCCATCTTCCATATCTAAGAAGAAACAGAGTGTGCTTCATGTCTTCAGAAAAATCTGTTGGCAGATCCATACTTCACCCTCTGTCTTGTGATTCCAGAAATACCGCTCCACAAAAGGTAACTACCAAAAAAAGGGTTTAGGCACAGTACCTGTGACTACCATCAGCCAAAGAGAAAATGTGATCGCAACGTTAGACTAGTCCGTTAGAAGCGGTAATGATATGACACAACACCCTGATGATTCCTTCTGCATCCCGTCAGGCCAAAGCCAATCAGATCGCAGAGGCTTGGGTTTACATAGAGGCAGTACTCACTCGAAAGACCTTCTCCACTCTCGCAATGCTTTTCCCAAAGATGGTTCCAAGTTGGTCTCCAATTCCAGCCAATAAGAAACCAAAGAGTGGAATTCCAAAGATGGCATATAAAATACAAAAGATTTTGCCTCCTTCAGTGCTCGGAGCAATATTCCCATACCCTGGTGAGAAATATTAAAAAGAGAGAGGGAGAGGGGTGAGGTGGCAGAGAAGTTAGAGTATAGAACTAACGACGCCACAGACCCTTTAAAACGTTTCTGCATTCCCTGCCCCCGCCCACCACCACCATTCGATGAGCTTTAGGAAGTAGAACAACACTTCAAAGGGCCATAAAATTCAGAACACTGTTCCATTGCTGCCGTCCCTTCTCTCTTATAAGAAGGTTTAAGAAGATCCAGGTTTCCTGGATCTAATGCATTTAGTTAGATTGCATTTCAGGAAATCTGCGGTCACCCAGAATTACATTCTAATGGAAAACGGTGCCGTCCATTTCAGAAGCACCCAGCGTCCCGGACTGCCTGGCTGAGGAACACCTGCACGCCTGAAAAGGGCTCAGAAAAGGCCTGCTCCTTTGTAGTCCCATCCCAAGGGCCTCCCCTCCACTGGCCAGACTGGCTGCCTTCAACATTTGCTCTCCCAGGGTCCTGGGTGCTCCATATTAAGGAGGCTCTGCGGTTGAGCACAAATTCTAAAGGACCCATGGATCATATAGCGCTACCTTGGGAAGCCTGAAAACAGTAAAGAGTCTGTTTCTAAACCCACCGATGGGTGAGTTCCTGGGTTCATGGTTATCAGTACGTTGGGGATGCAACACAATAAAGAATAACGTGGATGGCTGGTGTGTCATTCATCTTCCTGTGCTTGTAAAAAATTCACTGTTGCTTTCTACTCCTGAGTAATGAGTCACCTAGCTATTTCCCTTTTCAATTTTCCACTCAGAATCATTCAAACCTCTTATCACAAGTTGTCTAAATTACAGTTTCCATTTTATCAATGACTGTTCAGGCAAACCTCCTAATCTCTCACTTCTTTACTCACCACCATTTTGATTTAATGCTGGAAAAAAAAGGTCATGGGACTTTTTTCAGGTGCTTCAGGAACTGAGGCAAAATGCTTTTTTCTAAGCATTCCCCTCTAGAATAATCTGATTTACTTAACATAGCCCCCTTGAAAAAGGGAATAAATGTGCCTATACAGCTTCACATTATGCAGGTCTATGGTGACTCTCAGGAACATTCTAGCAACTTCTGGAAACATTTATGACTCTTGCTTGGCTGTCTCGTAATCGCCATATTAGCATCAGGGAATATAGGTTTTCTTGTCGCTTAAGAATTCAGAAAGAAATAGACTGCAGATGCCGGCGAACAGACCAAGGCTTTGGGCCTGCTGAGTAAGCATCTTAGCCCTGACAAGTGCTGCACACCCTTCCTCCGGCTCTCACAGAGGACCCGCCCCCACCTCTGCCTGGGCCAGGGGTCATTCCAGTGTCACCAAGGAGCACGCAAGAGAAGTGAGAGCACAGATCCAATTCACCTCATTCTATCCCGTTGTCCTTAGACTCACGGAGCTGACCCAACCTTAGTGCTGGAGCTGTTCAAGGACAACATGGAAAAAAAATCAGGGAAGGGTAAAGTACTACACCAATGCAGACAGGAACACTGAAATAAAATTAAAGTTCTCAGGTAACAGCACTTAGTGAAGTGACATTTAAATAAGTCTAAGTATATTTAAGGCCATCAGTTTGTATCAGACACAAAGTAATCGCCATTCCTGAGGAATGCTGTATTTTGTGCACGGGTATGTGTATGTGCAAATTTTTGTTGCCTGCTTCTAAGGCACTGTTTGCAGGGACGGCTCCAGCCTTCACAGTCAATGCCATCGCTCTCAGCAAACCCCAGAATTTACATCTGGGAAGTTTGCTCCAGGGCCACAGGCCTGGATTTTCAGCTCCAGCCATACCGGCCTGTGAGACTGCCCAGCCCAGCCCTCCAGAGTGCTTGGTACAACTGTGAAGTGAGGCGTAAGGGCTGTTTGTAGGTTCTAGAACTGGAAATAATATGGGTTCCTATTCTGTTTCTTCCGCTTACTGACTCTCGGATCTCAGGTAATCTGTCTAACCTTTCTGCTTCACATTCCTCATCTGAGAGGTGAGGCTATTAACAGTACTCGCCTTACAGCTATTAAAGATGAAATGAGTTACATGTGAAGCGTGAGTTACCTGTGAAGAGTAAATACGTGTAAGCGAAGCCTGACATGAAGTACCCAGTAAGTACTGACAACCATCACCTTCCCCAGGTTTTCTGTAGGAAGAAATCACTTCCCAGCAATATGTCTCCAGGAAAACTAAGCCCCAGGGGAAAACAGATGGTTGGTTCCTACTTTCCCTCTGGAAACTCTGTTGGTCTCCCCCAGCGCCAGGACAAGGGACAAAATGTCTGTCCCTCAGCTTGGCTGGCTCAATGACTTGGGCGGGCCCATGACTGGGCTTGGGGTGCGGGTATCTCTTGGTGCAGCCAGGGGTGGTGAAGGCTGGGAAGTGAGAGGGGATACTCAGCTGCTAGAGAAGCAGTCAGTCGGGGAGAGCCAGCCCAGAAAACTGGAGCTGGATTGAAGTAAAGCAAAAGACATCCAAGGAGCTACTCCACCAACGGGCTTCTGATGACCTTTAAAGGAGATGGCCAGCCCAGCAAGGACAGTCTGTTATGAATGAGAAAGACCACGGTGGGGCTTAGCTCTGTTCATCCACAGCTAGAAAACAGTCCCAAGCCCTTTAGGAAGACAGAGCTGATGTCTAAAGAGGATGCGTGTCTGAGTACCACACATAAAATACTCCTATTTGCTATTGACGTGCCAAAGTCAAATCCTTGCCAAACCGTGTGCTGTGCAGCCCTGGTGTGTGGCGAAGACTGTGTATCCTAGAACCAGAATGTCTGTGCACACAGGCCTGGCTTTACGGACATGCAAACAGGACCCCCACTTAGAAGGGCCCCATGCTGTGTTTAATGCTCTGTTGTTGCCATTTTGACATTCTTAATCATTTTTTAGCAAGGGACCACATTTTCATTCTGCGCTGGGCCCCACTCTATGGCGCTGTCCTGCTGAATGAAGCGAGGCTCCATTGCTTACTAACTGTGATGCTGGCAAGCTACTTAATGCCTCTGGGCCTCACTCTTCTCATCAGTAAACTGAGGCTAATAACAGTACCCGCCTCCCAAGGTTAACGAGAGACTAAGAGAAGCCATGTGGAGCACAGTGCCTGGAATCTAGTAAGTGCTCAGCGACTGTGAGCCACAATGATTGCTATTTCCAAAACCATGGGCTAAACTTCCGATTCGAGTGCTGGTTAGTTAGGAATAGCTGCCCACATTCCTTGGCAGGTGCAACTCTTGCATGAGGCCACCAGGCAAGTAACACAGTTACTGGCTACTATCCGGAACCTGACCACAGGCTGTCACTGATGTGGGTGGAGTCAGGTGACTCAATCCAAAAATGTCCCAAGCACTAAAATCCAATTGCATTCCAGAGACCTTGGTCAGAATGCCATCGCTTGTCACTTGCGGCCCTTCTGCAAGTGATGGTTTGTGGGAACAGCTCTGCATCAGGGATGAGTGTCACGCCTCCAGCTTAGAAAAGCTGGTTGCTGGGGCCCCACCAGCAGAGCCCACATTCAAGGGCAGGTGGTACTTTCTCACATTGGCATTCCTTCTGAGAAAAGGGGGCAGGTGCTGGGCAACCTCAACAAAGACAGAACAGAATCCAGGCTTCCTTCCAGCAGGGCTCCAGGTTTGGAAAATGCCTGAATGCATCCCCGTTGGCTATACATTTGTAAATCATCCTGAATGTGGAGTACAAGAAAATCATTTTTGTTTTTTTTTTTTTTAAAAAAGAAGGCTTTGATATCCTCAGATAAAAGGGACTTCAGAGACTGAGTAGGGTTGATGCTTTTCAGAAAAGAATTTATTATTCCTCAGATCTCTCTATTCACATTCTAAGTAGTGAACACATTTTTGTGTGTAGGCAAAGTGCATAACCTCACGCAGCTCATGACAGTCTTTCTGGAAAGCAATTTGGTGGGCCTTTTTAAGGCCCATGACCTTTGACACAGCAGTCCCCTAGGGATCTTTCCAAGGAAACAACCAGAGATGAAGACCACACTTCATGTACAAAAGTTTTCATCCCGATGTTAGAAGAAGGAGCGGCTTCAGCCTCCAACAATATGGGATTACAGTGTGGATAGGAGATCCAGTGGAACCCATCAGAGATTGTTTTTCAAAGAGGCTTAGTAATATGGGGAAATGTTTACAGTATTATGTCGCAAATTATAGGAACTCAAGCAAGCATGCTAATGTTTGTGTACTTCACAAACAATGAAAAGACAGCTCCTGAGCGCCAGCTGCTCCTCTGCCTGACTCTTAAACTGTGGAAAATTTCTCAGGAAAAACTGAAAGAATCAGTGAGTTCTGAGTTTTCTTATAAGCCTTTCCACCACATGTGATGAATGATGAAAAACCATTATTTCCTCACCTATTATTATTACTAACATTGTAGTATGGTTCTCTTTAGGATTCTCTAACCGTATGACTTTATACATACTCTCCACTCCAGAGGTAAAATTTAGCCAGCTAAATGGGGTCAACCTATAATACGTTATTTTGCAGCGTACTGAAAAAGAGAAACAAAACAGCATTTTTTCCATTGAATAAAACAAGGACCCAATCTCCAGCACTAACACTGAGCCATGATACTGGAAAGGGCTTGTGGTTTGGGTTGGGTTTTGTTTTTGTTTTTGTTTCATACCTCTTCTGTAGTTGCTGCTTGTTCAACATCCACCTTCCTTCAGATTTTTGGGAAAGGACCCTGTCCCGTGCCGAGGTATAACACAGGGTCCTGCCTCCCACTATAGAGGCAGCACCTTCCGAAGCAGCCAGGACACAAGCACATGAACCCCTAGGCTCATCCAATAGGGTGCTCGGCCTAAGACTTTAAATCTAGAGCCAGTGGCCCAAAGGAGGTGGGAGATGGCAGCTGCTGTGTCCAGCAAGGTCAGGCACGGGCCATGGAGGTCAGAGGATGCTTACTGGCCCTCCATGATCTGTGACCCTTAAATGTTTATTAGTTAGAATTTTTCAGTGTTAGGTCATAGAAAACCCAATGCAGGCCGCCTGAAGCAGAAGAGGAAATGAAAAGCATTGAGCCCAGTAAATAAGAGATTTAACATTTGTATCTTAACACTTCATGCGTAGCTCCATCGAAAGCTCAAAGGATGTGAACAGGACCCTCTTTATCACTCCCCTTTTCTTACTCTGCTTCTTTAGTATTAGCTGAATGCTAGGCAAAGCAACCCGCCAAGGAAAGAAAATGATTGGCAGGGTCCTGGGCCTATTATTGCTTTCCAAATTTACCTCCATTAAGAAAGGAAGTCAGTGCATCAAAGGTCAAGCAACAGCCCAGGAACTGAGGTTCTTACTGGGCTAACCCAGACCTCATGTCCATCTCTTAACTAAGGACTGTGGCCACTTGCCTACAAGGTAATGGACTTCTTGGTCTAGACAAGGTGATTCTTCCCCTGAGACCTGCCAAGTGTGGGGAAGAGGACCACTGGGAAAATGGTTATCAGGATAAGTAAATGGATGCCAGGTATCAGAAACGGAGGACTACTTATCATTTGAACAAACTCAAAGATTCTAGAATTAGCATATAAAAAAACAGATAATGTTACACATCAAATATTTCTCATTAGAAGCACCATTCCTTAATCACACAAGGTCATGTGGGTCAATGAACACAACTGTTCAATAAACCAAGCCCCTGGGTCCCTGACGATTTGACACAATAAGTACCATCAGAACTCATACCAGTGTAGCTGTAGTGTTTTTCACTGCATCGTACAGAACACTGATTTAGCCATTTTATAAAACATGCACATTCCATTTTATTTTCTGTTGGAGTCTATGGACTAATAGGACCCAATGTGGTCTGGAGTGTCTGAAAAGGCTTCCAGGCCCCAGACTTAATATTGCAATGCACACCTCTAATATGTGTAATAGTTGATCTTACCGTATCTGCGAATTTGCAAGCATGAACCTAGTCTGACACATAATCAGATGAAGAGTCTTTCTAAAAGGGAATGACAGTCCTCTTCCATTGCAAATGGTCTTATTGCCCATAACTTCCTTGATTGCACTAATGTAGAAAAAAACTCAGGTCCTAAAGGCTAGGCCTAAAAACAAAAACAAACATCTGTGCCTCTAAAACAATGCTTAGCCTCTGAAACTTACCCCAATAAGAGACTGACCACCAAAGATGTGCATAACCCCAAAGACGGCATACTCTCCAGCACCCACTAAACACGTGGTCATGAAGGATAAGGGAGAGAGAGGCAGCTCCCCAATGGCGCGGCTGGTCTTCAGAGAGCAACAGAGGAGAAAACCCTTCCCAGATGTTAAGGAAGGAATCCTCCCATCGCGAGGGCGGAGGGGCCTCCTAATGCCTGTCCTTCATTGCCATGGACTGGGGACTGCTGTGTGCCTCCCATTCTTTTAAATGAGAATTTTTATTGCCATGTGACTTCAGTATTGTACAGGCGGCAGATTACTGTCAAACTACTTCAGCAGAACTGGGAAAGGGATATAATCTAGCAATGCCACCATACAGGAAAAAGAATAAAATAAAGAGAAGAAATACAAAGAATGATAAAAGAGCCCATCAGGGGCAAATCTCAGAAAGTGCCAGCAAAAATCCAATTATTAAGGTGAGGGTCTCGCCCTGGCCAGTGTGGCTCAGTTGGTTGGAGCATTGCCCTGTAAACCAAAAGGTCATGGGTTCAATTCCCAGTTGGGACACATGCCTAGGTTGTGCATTCAGACCCCGGGGCACATACCAGAGGAGACCAATCTATGTCTCTTTTTCACATCACTGTTTCTCTCCCTCCCCTACCCCCACCCCCCAAAAAGTGAGGGTCTCATCTTGAACTTCAAAAGAAGCATCTTTGTTTGCACCAGGTGTGGATATAAGTGGAAAGAGATAGCAGCAAACCCCCCCCCCTGAACTTAGTCTGGTGCAGAAAAACAGACAAGGCAGGACTAGTAGAGGAGTAAGACAGATGGACCGTATTTTTAGAAAGCGCTCTGTTTCCTCGGCAGCAGGCAAAGAAGAGAGTCTGGGATGTGCTACCTGAAAAGCTACCTGCTTCTCCCTGCTCTCCTCTCCCCAGCCCCATGGAAAATTCAGCAGATGGCTGGTGTAGGAATATTCCGTTTGTTTGGTGTCAAGTATTTTAAAAAGAAGCTGGCCCAATATAAATATTAAGCTTCCATATAAAAAAAAAGTGAAAAGAGCAGCAAAATTTACAAATGGATGAAAGACACTCAGTAGAAAAGTGTCACCCAAACCAGACAAAATTGTAACAAACTATGAAGTAATCACTTCTAAGAATCTTCACAGAGAAACCACAAAGCAGAAATGCAAGAAATCAGGGGGAAAAAATAGTGAGACAACAAATAAAGATGAAATGGGAGCTAATGGAACTCAGGAAAGAAATGGGAAGGGAAAAACCCACTAATGATCACAAAATGAAAATAAAATTGGAAGAAACAGATGGCAGAATAAGCGCTGTGAGGAAGACACGCACACACAAAAGGAATAGAGGGGATAAAATTACCAAAATGAAAACCAAATCTTAAGAGTTAAAAAGACACAGAGGGAAAATGACAGATATAAAATGCAAAGAAGTGATGATATATGTGTAGTCGGAATTCCCAAAGAACAGAACTAAAACCATACAACAGAAAAAATGTTTACCTATAAGTGGAACCTAATCAACAAAACAAACAAGCAAACAAAATAGAACCCAAAACACGGAAACAAAGAACAAGCTGACAGTGACCAAGGGGGAGGGGAGAGGGATATAACGGGGGCAGGAGAAGAAGGGGAAAGGTCAAGACACGTATAAAGGACCCATGGACAAGGACAACGGTGGGGGAGGATTGAATGTGGAAGCGGGGGGTGGGCAGAGCGGGGGAGAGCAATGGGGGGGACATGAGGACAACTGTGATGAACAGCAATTTTTAAAAAAAAATTTTTTTAAGATGACAATCCGGAATACTTCCCTGAAATCAAAGAAACAAAACCTAGTAGTATTATCAGATGGAAGATAAAGATATAATAACCTTGTGTGTAGCTGAGCAAAAGATCAAGTCACTCACAAAAGGGGACAAATATTGGGCTGACATCAGGTTTCTCTACAGAAGCGTAAACATCAGAAAAGAATGAAATAAGGCAAATGAGACCCTTTAAAAACAACATGTGAGTCAAGGATTGCATTTCCAGCCAAACCACCACTCAAGGGCAAAGCTACCATCATGAAGAGCACAAGAAACTCAGGGAATATTGCTCCCATAAGCCATTCTTAAGGGAGCTATTTGAAGATGAGTTTCAGCCGATCAGATGAGGAGGAGGAAAAGCATGGCAAAGGGACTCAAGATGAACACTGACGATAATTAACTAAGAACTACAACTGAAACCAATGTGAGTATCAGGAGAACAAACCAGAATGTAAATTACACACCCCGATGTTACAGAATGACCTGAAGAGCAATCATGGATAGTGGACGAGAGAAAGAAGGTGGGATGCTAAATTCACCTTATAGGCAACAGCTGAGAGCCAAGAGTTATCATCTAAAGTGGGCAAATCAGCTGATAGAAACAGAAGTATATTTAATCATTTAAAAGTAAACACCAAAAGGACAGTGTCAAGAGGATGTCACTGTCCATAACAGGGAAGTAATAGATACTGCTTAACGACTAGAACAGTCTTTATATACTGTTATAATTATAAAGTTAGCCCCTAAGATAAAGATATAAAACTCCCCAAGTATCAGGGGAAAAAAGAGGCACGCAAATATTGTAAGACAAAAATTGCTGTAGGAGAAAAGTAATTATAGATCACCCCATGATTAGTTGTGAAGAAAACTTACCTAGTCAAAAGAAAAAATGAAAAGGCTCACTTTTTATCTAATCAAACTATGGTGAGAGGACAGGGGCACGGGAAGAGAGCCCTTCTCCAGGGGAGCAGATGAAAGAGAACTAATTCCTCCTCTTAACACCACAGGAAGTCAAGATATAATCCCTAAAACTGAACTTTCATAAATTAGCTATATGAGTGTGATATTTAGAGCCATGAAGATGAATATCAAAAGAACCAAGCAAAAGAGAATAAAATGGTTGCCCTGGGGATGTGAAAAACTGCTGGTTTTCATAAACAAACTTTCTAGAACATTCTGGTTCTTTCACATATAACTTTAATAAAAAGCACAACTTTAAAAAAGGATTTTGAGCGCAACTGAGCAGTCGGTGCTCGACTAACTGATGCATATTTTAAGTTTTCACTCTTGCTTAACGAAGTTCTTCAGTCTGCCTCTTGCTTACAGGCACTACGACCACCGCATTCACATGACCGTGTTTCATAAGCCTCCTGGCAACCTCAGGCTCTGCCATGTGTCCTGTGAGGACAAAAGGCTTGACTCGGCGCCATTACTCAGCGTGGCCTGCAAAGGGAAAGAGGTCAGCAAGCAGGTGGGTACCTATGGTGGTGATGACAGTTCCAGCAAAGAAAAAGGCACTTCCGAGGTCCCAGTGACTGCTGTTGTTGGACGAGTTTCCGATAGGACTCACCCCTGCGTTGTCAGCATCCAGGGCATGCTGCAAGGAAAGTGAGAATGCATGAGACCCAGTTTTAAAAGTTTAAAAAAATAATAATTCCCCTGCTCAAGACCGTGCAATGACTGGTTATGTAAATGAGGGTACAGTCACAAAGTGAAGTACTATACATCCACCTATTAAAATTCACTGTAGATGGGCGGGGGGAACTAGTGTATATAGTATGGTGCCATTTATGTAAAATTTGTGGCCACAGACTTACGCAGTGAAGCCGTGGGTTATACAAATTGCATACAAATTACTTTGCATAGACATAGAAAGATGTCTAAAGGATTATCACCCGAAGTGGCCACTCCCGGAAGGCAGGATTTCAGTTGCTTTCAACTCTTTTCTGTTTTGTTAGAATGTTTTACACTGAGCTTGTTTCAGGAGTACAGGAGGTAAGACCTTGAGTTCCCGGGTCAGGCCACCCTGGCTCTGCCTGTTACTAATTTCAGAACACTGGGCAAGTTATTTTAACCTCTGTAAGCCCAAGTCTCTGCCTTTGACACTGGGAATAATAATACCTTCCCCACAGAGTTGTTGTGAATATTAAATGAGATGATCCATGTATTGCACTTAGCTCAATGCCCCGCACTGGGTTAGGGTTGACTTAATAGCCAATCTCATGATTGTCATTTCACTGTCCCCCAACACAAAGACACATATTGTTCCTCTTTAAAATGCGACAGTGACTCCTTGCTGCCTACTGGATTTGGAATTCCATACAACTCAAAATTCCCGATAACTTGCCCACATTGATGATTCACCCCCATCTCATGCTACTAAAACCTCTAGCCTGGGCAGGACATGCCATGAGACAGTCCCTCACACTTGTGGACTTTGGGGTCACTTGTGCCCGCCCAAAAGTGCCATTACTTCAGGGTCTAATCCAGGCCCGCTTCTCCCGGGAAGCATGTACAGAATAAGGTGAAAATCTCCCAGCAGCCCTTCTGAGCTGGACCCTGCCATCCGCTTTCAGGCCAGGGGACGGGGGAGAAAGAGCACACTGATGAGCTGCAGTGAAGAAGGGGCAGGAGGGAGTTTCAAGGGGAGGTGACAGACTTAGAGCTACTTCTAGAACACTGAACAACTAGAGGCTCTGTCCCCTGGAATAACCCCAGGTAGAGCACACAAGACAAAATTAAGTACTGAAATGTGATTATATTTATCCTCAATAATGCCACTTAAGTTTTGTCAAAACAGACATTGTTGCCACAAATCAGGTTGCAAGGGAAGAAGTCGATCATCAATATACGTTCCCTTCATGAGTCAGAGACATGTAAAACACTCTAGACCAGGGATCAGCAAACTTTATTCACAAAGCACTATATGATAGTTACTTTAGGCTTTGTAGGGCAAGTATGGCTTCTGCTGCATGTTTTTCAGTTCATTTTACAACCCTTTAAATATGCAAAGACCATTCTTAGTTCACGTGTTGTCCAAAATCAGGCTGCAGGGTGGATTTGGCTGACCCCTAGACAACCGAGTGAATAATAGGAAAAATTCTCTTTTGTTCAGGTCTTTAGTCGACTCTTTGCTGCCTCTAAGAACATGAAATCTGTGCTGGCCACTGCTCCTAGCATAAACCCTGGCACCCGAGAATGTAAAATCCAGCTGCGTGGGAGGTGTGCAGGCTGTCTTCGCCCACCGTTTACAGCGACCTGATTGACAACGATCATCTATCCATCAGGGACTCTGCTCTGCTCTGCTTTGGAGAAAAGACAGATGGTGAGTCCTTTCTGCTAGTAAAATAGCCATTTTCACTGTGCCGTGGGTGCCATCAGACACAGCCACAGGCCTAACTAGTGTTTATCTCCTCGTTATCTATTCAGCTCTGATGGGCCCACCTGGAAATAATACCTCAGGGACAGCTCAAGGTCTCAGTCACTTCAGGGACCTCCAGTCACACCATCAATACCTAATATTTACGACATTTCTGATGCTGCAAAAAAAGCTTGGTTTCAGTCAAGTCTCACTGGGCTGAGTATTGCACAGAAGCATCCTAAGCAGACCCAGCACCACATGTAAAAATACAGATTTGCAGCAAAGGCAGACTGAGATGCTTATTTGTTTCATCAAAAAATCCAGAGTAAGATTCCTTTTCGAGTTTCGGTTTTTTGAATCACGTAATTTATAAATATTTCACGTTCATATATGTAACCCTCAAGGAGAGTGTTTATCAGCTGAAAGGAAAGGAAACCAACATTTGTTGAGTGTTTGCATTGAGCCAGGTACTATAGAAGTGGTATGTCATTTTATCCTTTGTACAACTTGCATGTTATTCAATTTTAACCTTTCTACAACTTCCAAAAAAAAAAAAAGGTAAAACTATCCCCCTCTTCAGTGGTAAGAAAACAGGCTCAGGAAAGTCAAGTAACTTACCACAGCAGACACAGCCAGGAGGCAGAGAAGCCAGGAAGCAGAATTCGAACCCTGACTGGCTAAAAGCCAAGGTTCTGCCCTGTCCTCTACAAAGGGCTCCCAGGACACACTTCTGTCCCATGCCCATTCTCGCCTCCAGACAGGGATGACAGAAAAGGATGGCCATTGTCTAAGAATTTAGACAGAAGGGACCACAAGGGATCAATTCTAATTCGACTACTTCCTTGGAAGTGGAGGCACAAAATTTCATTTTGTCTCTTGGAGCTGGAGAGAGCTTAACTGTGTTGCACTGAAAATTAAATTTAAAAACAAATAGGTAAAAATCGGGGAAGGTTGATTTTATACCCTGAGAGGGAGGGAACAGAGGAAAGAAAGACAGCCATGAAAAACAAGGAAAGAAAAAGAGAGAAAGGGGTGTCGACTGACATGTGGAAGGTTCCAGGTGAGTTCCAGCAATGCCCAGGGCTTCTGAAGAACGCACCCATCCAGTACCCAGCTCTGACTTGCTGTGTTATCACGCAGATTCTTCTCCTAATCACCCCCCGCATCCCAAAATCTTCAGTAAAGTGGACTATACACACAAATGCCTTTAGGAAGTGGTTTTGTGGAAATTAAATACAAGCATTGTTATGGGGCTATGGGGTCAGAGTGTGATTTATTTATCTATTTTTATTCTTTTTAAAGATTTTATTTATTTATTTTTAGAGAGGAGAAAAGAGGGAGAGAAACATCAATGTGTGGTTGCATTTCGCACGCCTACTGCTAGCCTGCAACGCACTACACGGGGAACTGAATCGGTGACCCTTCGGTTCACAGACCAGCAATCAATCCACTGAGCCACACCAGCCAGGGCCAGAGTGTGATTTAGACCCAGAGGTAAGATGGAAAAGGACAAGCCCTTCAACGAGTCACTGAGCTCTTGCTAAGGCTTTGGACAATCCCCAGTACCGGAAATGAGGTTTGATTCTATCTAGATCTGATGAGTCAGAAAGACTCTAATGAACCACTAGAATTAAAATGAATCGGCAAACTCGGCTTATGTATCTACAGGGAAAATGCAGTGCAGAAGACTGTATTCGCTTGAATTCATAGCACCATTTTTATTTCAATAAGAATATTTCTGATTGAGTTCATAGTTCTAACTTGACCCGCCTTCTAAAATAGTTTCTAATGATCTTGTTTGAACTCAAGAAAACATTTTAAAATGAAATGCATTTAAGTTTCTCTCTCTCTCTCCGTCCTGCTCCCTCTCCCCCTGCCCCCCCGCCCCGCCCCGCATGCAGGCTGCAAAAGTGAAGATAAGCCAGCCCCTTGAAAGTGTCTAAGCACAGAGATAGTGAAATGATATAACTAAGCTGTGTACTGTTTGGCTTAAAGATCAAACAAAACCCTCTCTCCGTCTCTCCCTCTCTCCATCCTCCCCACCCCACCCATGCATTAGGACCACCTGAAAGGCAAAACAGAGAAACTGCAGCCTCTCACAGGTGGGGCGGGTCTGAGGTTGACAGAGAAGGAAGGGAGAAGGGAAGTATCGATCACTTGGACACCCCCGCCGCCCCACCCCAGGCGCCCCCAGTGCTGTAATCCCATAAGGCAAAGCCTGGCTGAGTAAATCACTCTCTGGACGGCGTGCGATACCATCATGAGTGTTCATACTACACTGAGATGAATGATGAGCCACAGGGGACCACTAACTGTCTGTGGCTTTTCTCCTATGATCTGTGTACTCGGTGAGATAATCTGTTTCCTTATGTGGCGCCAGAAAGGAAGACGCACGATAATCACTCAGCTTGTCTGAGGCTGGCTAAAGAATAGCACCAATGGGCGCCATATGCATGGACGTGGACAGCTGGGGCGATCGTCTGACTACGGCCCAGTCTAGGAGACTTGCGGGGAGTGGAAGGGCGCTCCCTTCACCATCATGCTGGGACCGCAGGGCACCGCAGCGCAGGATATACGGTCACTTCACTCATAGCTTACACCACCGGGACAAAAGGAAAGGAGCCCTCCTCAGCGGTCACCACAGTGGCTGTGTCTGTAGTATACTTCAGCCCAGTCAACAAAGAGACTTATGGAGGGATATTAGTTAGCCAGGGGTGGAGGCAGGATGACAGGGTGGGTATGAAAGTGGCTTCATAAATGTATTAAAAGTGAGCACACTCTCTGCCAAGAATGGACAGAAGGAGAGCCGCAGGCCCTGTGAGGCAGACAAAGGCCGCTGGCAGACCGCCTGCGTTCCAACTCCGAAGGCCCCTAACAATTCGAAACCCCGGCAGCCTCCTTCCACCTCCTCCCACAGTGGTGGCGGAAGGGCCTCGGGTCGGAACTGGGAAGATGGTGTTAATTTGTTTGCCACAGTTGCTTTTTATTTCTCCTGCCTCAAAAGTGCTTTTCATATATATTTAACCACAGAAAAAGTGAATATGGCGGCGCTGGGGCAGGGGCAATGCCACGTGCACGTGCAAGGCCATGTCATAATATTTCAAACCATGGTGGGAGGGTATCAGAGAGGAACTCTGGACCCACCCTCAGCAAGTGCCTCAGCAAGGCAGTTCTGTGGCTGATTCCAAGAAGTCTTTGCTTTAGTACAGAGAGGTGGAGCGTGTAAGCAACTCGCA